TTCTCCTGCCCTCCTTTTATCTGCTCCTTTTTCTTCCTGAGTCAGGTCACAGAAACTCTAATGCTAAATTCTCTGCCCTACTTTGTCTGACAGTGGGCGATGAGCCCCCCACTTCGGAAGGGGTCTTTGCCCCACAGCCCTTAAGTGGGAAGGCTGGAGAACCCGGATCAGTAGACATTGCTGGGTTTCCCCACCAGGACTGTTAGCATGAGGCCACACCCTGCTGCCTGTGCTCAGTTGTGCCTGTGCAACAAAGTCCTCCACAAAAGCCCACAGGACAGGGTTCAGAGGTGCAGAGAGGGAGGGTTCACCCCTTTTCCCATACCTCGCCCTCTGCATCTCCTCAACTGTGGCCTTCGTAAAATCCTTTACAATAAACCGGGAAGTGTCTCCCCAACTTTGTGAGGCGCTCCAGCGATGACAGCCCCACTGGTCAGAAGCACCACTAAGACGACAGGGCTGATGGTTGCTGTCTGACGTGACTGGTTCTTGGGGACTGAGGCCTGGCCTGTGGGACCTCCAGGTCAGCTCAGGACTAAATTGGGGGCTGTCCCATTGGCTATTGCTACACCGTGGCCTGCTTGACGCCAGGAGCTCTTGTTAGAAGCCAATGGGAGAAACTGAGTGAGTTGATTTTCTCCGCAGAGGGCCCGGCTCCATGGCTCTGTGGTGAGGGGGTCGGCCTGGACTCTCCCAGGGAGCTTTGGGGCAGCCTCCAGGAGTACAGAGCAGAGGTGACAAGTCCTCCTAAAGCTTCCTGTGGCTGCCCTCTCTCCTCCCACCGAGGTGGGGCTCACGCCTCCTCCAGACCCATGGTTCACCTCACTCCTCCCCTTGGCCCACCAGCGCCTGACAGGACCAGACACAGGACATAGGACATGCCTCTGTCACTTGCTGGCCACTGCCACTGCCTCCCTTCCTGCAGGGACAGCCAGCACGGGGACCCGTGCCAAGGCTTCATCTACAAAGTCTGCCAGCACACTCCTCCTCCTTTCACCCCAGCTTCTGGGTCTGCTCCTTGTTGCTGAAACCTTCGCTTGTGGCAGTCCCAGGTGGACAGTCACAGAAGGCTGACATGTGATCAGTCTGGACTGAGAGGGAACCTTTAGTCCAAAGCTAGGGGCTGAGAATCGGAGCTTATGCAGGGGTGCCACCATGCTCCAGTGTGGAGTCCTTGGGATGTTTCCTGGGATTCTGAATTTTGATAGCTTCAGTGTCAAGACACCGAAATGCCCAACTGTGTTGTGACATCAAAGATTTGTGCTCAGTGAAGTTTGTGCGGTCATAAATTAGAAGTGGGTGCCACTAACCTCTTGCTTTCTTGCTTAAAGATTAACCTTGGAGCCAGGTGCCAGTGGCTCACACCCATCACCCTAGTTCCTCAGGAGGCACAGTCCAGGAGGATGGTAGTTTGAAGTCAGTCCCAGGCAAACAGTTTTTGAGACCCTATCTTGAAAACATCCATCACAGTATGCACATATGAATAATAAAAGAAAAATGAAAAAAAAATCCATCACACACACACACACACAAAAGGCTGGTGGAGTGGCTCGAGTGGTAGAGCACCTGCCTAGCAAGCATGAAGCCCTGAGTTCAAATCCCAGTGCTGCCAAAAACCTTAGGCTGTCCTGATTAACTTTCATAAGCAACAGGCCCGCCAGCCCTTTCCACATACAGACAGGCTGTGCACATGATCTTGGCTGGTGACCTGAGCTCTGTCAGCCTGGGCACAAGCACACACTGCACAGTCTGGGAATCTGCCATCCATCCACCTGCCCCATAGGAAGCACCTTCTACTCACAGTGAGTGCAAATCCAGGAACGCTGGCTACAACTGTTGCTCCACACCCTGTCTTGACTGTGCTTGCCTGTCCACATCCATCCAGACATTAATTCTTGATCTCTCTGAGGCACTCGGGGTTGAATCTTGCTTTTGGTGACGTCACAGCAGGAAGGCATGTGTGATTCCCGTCACAGTGGTTTTAAGGCCCTCTTTCCGTGGGCCATGAGACATTGAAGATGAGATCAACGGTTATGGACACCCGGAGTCTGTGCAGTCAGCGCAGACGTGAGAAAATGCCATTTTAACCTTTAATTACCCAAGCCAAGGAGTGGTATCTACTTTTATTGCTGGTGATGATGACCATATTGACTTTGAGACAGTAGATGGGCTTCAGGAAGAGGGAGTCCCCACAAAACCCGCCCTCCCTCCGCTTATGACTCAGGAAGTACACTAAGGACCTCCTTTAAGAAGGGGGATGGATGTGACAGGGAGAGAGGCTGGGGACAGAGCCTGGATGAAAAGAGGAGACACGAGGGGCAGCCTGGCACTGGGACAGGGCCTGAGAGGCAAGACCTCCTTCCTGGTCTGTGGTGTGAGGGATTGCACCCGAGGGTAAGGAAACCTCCCACCCTTCCCGCCTCCCCAGGTGATCAAAGCGCTGCTCTGTGTTCCCAGCTGTAAATGAGGTCAGCCTCGGTAAGCCAGATAATAGCCACCCGGATAGCACCATTTCCTCAGCCAGGTGCTGTGCTGGATGCTTTATAGGGAAGTTCTTCTTTAATCCTTCAACGGTCCTTGGCGGTAGGTGTTATAACTCCCTTTACAGCCCAGGAAGTGAGGCTTACAGACATGAAATCAGGGGCCCAAGGTCAGTAACGCCTCAGCGCTGGATCTGGGATTTGAACCCAGCGACAGTCTGGCTGCAGAGCCTATTGTTTCCCTTAACCACCATGCTTTTAAACAGCATTTGGGCCTAGTGAAAATTGGTAGGGTGACATCCAGAAGGTTGGAATAGAAAGAACAAAGTTCTGTGTCTCACTGACTCACCAGCAGACACCAGCAAAATGCCCTTGATCTTGGTCTATAAATGAGTGAGGCGGCCTCTTCACCCACGTCCACCCCACACCCATCATGTGTGTCCTGAGGTTTACCAAATCGGTCACCAGGCCTCTGCAACCCTCGAGGTGTTGAGGACACAGGCGAGTAACATGAGGGCTGGTTTGAGTGTCAAGGCAAGCTTCCCGTGTATTGTGTGCAAGTCAGGCACCAGAGCTCTTGGTGGAAACAGTAAGGCGCTTTTGTAGGGACTTAATCTGACCCTGACTGAACTCTGAGTGAGGAAGCTGGCCGTGGCCTGCTGTTTTTAAGAACAAAACATTCTCTCTAGCTGCCCTGGATGGATTGGGTTGGTTCATTCTGTCTCCGTCTCCTCTTCCAGCAGTGGGGCTGGATTACCACAGTGGACGCCAAACTGGTTTCCTTTTAATGACTTTGAGGAGGTGAGCACAAGGGTTAAGTGTACATGGCATGGATAAAACGCTTTCACTCTTTATCCAAGTCAAAAGAAACAACAATGATCTAAGCAGGTAGTGTTCCAGGGAGTCTTCTTCCTGGGACAGTTATGAATTCTCTAATGCAAACTCAGGACAAGTAGCATCTTCACAGAATTCAAGAGCTGATGGCCTTGAAATGATCACATAGTCATATGGGGAAGTATTTTGAAAAAAATCACTTCATACATCTTCTCATGTGAACACATACACACACACACACACACTCTTAATTTAGTAATCCTCTTCTGGAAATTCATGCTTAAGAAGTTATGCCAGGTGCTGATGGCTCACACCTGTAATCCTAGCTGCTTGGGAGGCTGAGATCAGGAGGACTGTGATTCAACTGGGCAAATAGCTCGAGAAACCTCATCACCAAAAAATAACTCAAGCAAAATCGACTGGTGGTGTGGCTCAAGTGGTGGAATGCCTGCTTTGCAAGGATAAATCCCTGAGTTCAAACCCCAGTCTCACCAAAAAAATAAGTTATCCCAAATCAGGAAAGTAAGATGTCCATTGCATAGTTACTTTTTTGGTGGTACTGGGGTTTGAACTCAGGGCCTCACGCTTGTTAGGCAGGCACTCGATCGCTTGAGCTACTCCACCAGTCCTTTTTTTGTGATGGGTTTTTTCGGGACAGGGTCTCTTGAACTATTTGCCCAGGGTAGTTTTGAACCGTGATCCTCCTGATCTCTGCCTCTTGAGTAGCTAGGATTATAGGCGTGAGCCTCTGGCAGCCAGCTCATTGCATAGTGATTTATAATAGCAAAATATTTTTAACAGTCAATAGGTCCCAGTTACACACGTGCAGGTGCACAACCCCCGTTGGGATTTATATTCATTAAAACTAAAATTACAGAAGCCACATAGCAAGACAAAAATGCTTACATAGAGGAAACAAGTCAGCTGTAGATACAATCTTGACCCTGCACCAACTAAGGTTTGTACTTTTCACTTCTAGATTTTGTATTCAGTTTCTTTTCCTTCTGGTCACTGTTCTTCCACATTCTCTTAACTCCTTCTTCCAGATTGTTGTCAGGGCCCAGTTCCTGAGTGTTGCATTGCTCATTTCCCTGGATCTGTAAAGTGAGTCTGTGGGAACCCCCCTCCCCCAGCCCTCCACCAACCCCTGTCCTCTGGCCCAGGGAGGTGGCTTTGCTTTGCATTTGGCCAGACCCTAAGAGCTCCAGCGGTCCTGGCCACCCGTGTCTCATCAGCACTTGCAGGGCAGTTTCCTGGCTTAGGGCTGATAGGAACATTAGTTCAGTTCCCTATGAAAGCCTGCATTGTCCCTCAGCTCCAGTGGGTTCAATTCCCAGCTTCCCAACCCAAGAACTTTTACTAATCCCCTCCGAGGCCACCAGTGGGCCACCTCTCACAAACCACTATGTCTTGCTTCCCATATAAACTTTGCTTTGCATTACAAAATCATTTATGACTTACCCATCATCTCCATGTTTGTAGTAGGACATTTAACCCACCGTATCAACCTTTGCAACTCACTGCAATTTTGTGAAAGTATTTTTGAATATAATCAAATTATATTCAAACTGATCTGTTCTGGATGAAGACAGTGGTTCGTGGTCACTGTCCTGCGTTTTGTGTGCCCGCCCGCCGTCTCTGCTGTTATTCTGTTGCCTTTGAAATGATTGTGCTGTTTTGTTTTAGAGTGCATACACTGCAGCTGCCATTAACGGGACAGATTTTTGTACATCAGCAAAAGATGCACTGAAAATCTTATCTAAGAATTCGAGTCACTTCCTGTCTGTTTGCTGCTTTGGAAGCTCCATCATTTTTCTAGGAAAGGTGAGATGTCTTGATTTGACAAAAGGACCTGGAATTCAAAGAATTGGGCCACACCGCAATTGATTTGAAAGGGAATTTCTAAGAGCACTTGCCTCGAGCATGAGGCCCTGAGTTCAATCCCAGCACTGGGGACTAACATTTCTTGAACACTTACCTCATAGTGATGCTGTGTTATCTGGGTTAATCCTCAGTCCCTCAAGCCTTCTCTGTTTTGCAAATGTTGAAACTCAGGTTTAACAACTTTTCTTGCTGTGCTAGGGATCGAACCCAGAGCCTTGCACAAGCTAGACAAGCCCTCTACCACTAAGCTGTGTCCCCAGCTTCAGGTTTCATAACTTTTCCAGGGTCCCATAATAGGGACGGACAGGATTTTAATCCTCAATCTATTTTACCTGAGACCACGTTTACCATTCTTAGTCCCACTTTTTCATATCTAAAGTAACAATGCTATGACCCCCAGCAAATGAGGATGTTTTGTGGATGTTTGTCATAAAAACACAGGACAGCGTTGACCTTGTGAAATCTGGGCACTATTTCAGGGCATTAGGTCTGAAGCAAGGTAGATTGTTATTTCCTAAATAGGACCAATGTTGCATTTCTATTATCGTCTGGATAAAGTTTTAAAGAATTGCCTGTCGTCTTGTGGAGTGAAGGGGCAGCTTTGAGCTGCAGCATGGCTCAGTATAAAGGATGGAATATGAATCGTTTGCAACCCCAAACTTCAGTTTTATATCCCTAGGGGACCCAAAAGAACCACTGGTTACTTCATGCTGTATTAAAAGGTGATTAGTTTCTAGTATGTTTCTTATGGGAAATACAGGAAAATGAATTATTATCTAAAGTTAGTGCATTCAAAGAGCCAAAGCCAGGTGTGTGGAGCATGCCTGCAATCCCAGGCCTCTTCTGGGCTGCAGGAAAGAGTGATGGCAGTGGCTGTCCCCCTCCGTCCCCTCATCTCCTTCTGCTGGACCAGCTCCTTGGAAGGTTCTCTGTGTGGTGACACGGTCCTGATTTTCACCCTCCGGGTGCAGCTCTGCACATCTGTTCCCCTGGCCCCACATCTACCTGAATACAATTGAACTGCCACCCACAGACCCCTGGCCTTCCCTCCACGGCTTCCCTGTGCCCAGCTACACACTTCCTCAAGCCATTCCGCTACCTGACACAAACCAGTTGTGACCTGGCCCATGCCGTGCCATGGGGACTGTGCTCTTCACCGAGGACTCTGTGCTCCTGGGACACGGGCAGTGTCCCTGGTGCATGGTGCTCCTAGTTAGCTGTCAGCAACCAGCTGTAGCAAGCTTGGATTTTACAGGTGTATGTGAACTGCACACCACGGGCCTGAGGTGTTTCGTGTGACAGTGACAGGAGCAGCACAAAGTCACCAGGTCTTCAAGTAGCCTGAATATCTGGGCTGTGTTTAAGTGGACAAGCCCATCTGTGGTAGCTTGCTAGGGTTGTGCAGATCTATTTGCCAATACAACTTTCAAAAGATTTTGGAATGAGTTTTCTTCCTCTCGCCCTCCCTCCCTCCCTCCCTTCCTTCCCTTTTTTGTCTCAAATTTGAGATCCTCCTTCCTTAGCCTCCCTCGTGCTGGATTGCAGGCATGCTCCACACACCTGGCTTTGGCTCTTTGAATGCACTAACTTTAGATAATAATTCATTTTCCTGTATTTCCCATAAAAAACATATTAGAAGCTAATCACCTTTTAATCAGCACGCAGTAAGCAGTGGTTCTTTTGGGTCCCCCAGGTAGAATCTTACATGTTAGAGAATTGGCCACACTGTGGCCTGTAGTTCTGTGTCTGGAAATATAATAATTATACTTCCAAAAGCCTAGAATAATCCTATTATCTCCCCATAGCAATGGAAGTGCTTCCACTGTATTCCCGAGGGTTAAACTGGTCACTTTTTAAAGTGTAGCACCCTGCTCAGCGGGCGGCTACACAGCAGGCATTTAAAAACGGCCCTTCTAAGAAGGCTTTTAAGTGAAAATACAGATGTGCTGTGACATTGGGGTATTAAGGAGAACCAGGACAAGCGCTTTGTGACCACTCCGTGTGTGTCACAAGTAGGTGCAATGGGGGGAGATCGCCCTCCCACCCCATGAACTGAGCTGTCCTCCCTCCGCTCTCATTCTGCCAATTTTCGACTCTTTACAACAGAGTGCACACGCGCGCACACACAGTTGCTTTTGACAGTGACTTTCCCGAAGTCCTCTAACCAACCCATTTACGAAGGTCTCCACAAACGCTCGCTTTGGCAGGTGCTGGCAGTGTGCCTCACGGTCTTCGCAGGACTGCTGGCGTTTAACTACAGCCGAGCGCTGCAGGTGTGGGGCATCCCGCTGCTCCTGGTGGCCTTTTTCGCCTTCTTTGTGGCTCACAGCTTCTTATCTGTCTTTGAAACTGTTCTGGACACGCTGCTCCTGTGCTTCGCTGTGGATCTGGATACAAATGATGGATCATCAGAAAGGCCCTACTTCATGGACCAAGAGTTTTTGGTAAGCTGTGTCCTCCATCCTCAGCCTCACGTCTCGTCCCGAGGGCTCCATGTGGCCTCAGTGTCCAGAGCCCTGGTCTCAGCTTTCCGAGGCTGAGCCTCACCTCACCTCACTGCAGCCTTCTCCCTGGAGAAGGGAGCCCAACAGATTTAAAAGTCCAGATGGGTTCCCCAAGGTGCAGCACCAAAGGGCCTGGTGGTCACACTAGCACCTGAGCACCTCGGTCCCAAAGGTTTGGCGTGACCGCCTGGGCAGTTTGGGTTATCTAACGCTTGATGTTTTCCCGTGTTCTGCGTCCCTGAGTCGTGTCCTAACCCACCAAGCTGAAGGAAGAGCAGTGTAGACTTGTCACCGGCTGTCCCCTGTTGACCGGCCTGCAGCCCTGGGGCCCCATCATCCCAGAAACACCCTCATCAGCACCCGTATCTGCAGAGCCGCAGCTGTTGTTTTTTCACCTCATCAGGGTAGACAGCTAAATGGTGTCCTGTGTCGAGTGGCTCCTCTGTCATTTTCTTTCATTTTGTCGCCACAAGACTTAAGTGCTGACACTCAAGGCACTGTCCCTCAGAAGGCACTAATGTGTCTTCAGTTCTCCTCCGCATACAGCATAAAAGTCATTTTTTATTTGGCTCCTCTGTAGGTTCTGAAGGTGTTTCTGGTGGTTTCCTGATTCACACTTTTCCAGTTAAAATTTCACTTTGAAATCTAACTGTCCCCCCTACCCTCAAATATTTTAATTCCACAGGAAAATAATTTTTTTTGAGATGCTGGGGTTTGAATGAATTCAGGGCCTCACACTTGCTAGGCAGGTCCTCTACCACTTGACCCACCCCGCCAGCACCACGGGGAAAACTTGTCTCCCCAACTGTAGGTGTTATCAAACAGTGCAGATACAGCACTGGTCTCACCCATTCTTTTGTTTTTCAGAGTTTTGTGAAAAGGATTCACAGATTTCACAATGCAGGCTCAGAGCAAGATGAGAACCCGCTAAGGAAACAAGAGGGACCAGAACTCCATCCCATTGTGAGCTAGGTGCTCATCAGATGTGTACCCAGAAGTGACCTTCAGAGCCACTGACCAACTAAAAGATCAGACCTGAAGGAGCCACACTGTTTGACCAGGTTTCAATAATGGAATCATAAACGTCTACAGCCCGTTTGATACTAAGACGGAAGAAACATTTAATGCCATGTGTCTACGCCTCAATTTAAAAAGAATATAGCTGGGCGTGGTGGTGCACACCTGTAATCCCAGCAATTAGAAAGGTAAAGCAGGAAGATTGGGCCTTTGAGGTCAGCCTGGGCTGTAGAGTGAGACCTTGTCTCAAAAATAAATAAAAAATAAGATGTACAATATGTAAAAACTCACCGGAGTGTGTGAGTTGACTGGTAAATAAACCTTTAAAACAGGATTTTGTGAGCAGAAATCTGTAGCGTTGCCTTCCTATAGGGCCAGGCCTCTCCCCTCTCCACCCAGTCCAGGAGATGTGCTAAAGATCTGAACTCTCCAAGGTGCAGCTCTTAGATTTAGTGACTCAAAGACAAAATGTGACCTCTCCCTGGACCTGGGCACACAGGTGAAAGGCAGCAGGTTAAGAACATGGGACTTAGCTGGTGACAGGCAGGAGGCACTGACAAGTTAACAAACCTTCAAGAGAGGTGGCTTTCAACCTGAGACTTGCCTTGAGGAAGAATTTTTGCAAGAAGTACCCACACCTGGACCCACCAGAGGTTTCGGTGTGGTGGAAGTTTTTCTTCTTCAAGCTGGGAACGTCTCATCCGTTAGGTGGCTGGGCAGAATCACCCGCTTCTGCAGGAGGTAAAACCTGACTTCTCTGCAGAGCTGGTAGTGATAGAGGCCTCCGTCCCCCCATCCCACCCAGACACCACTTCAGAGAGGAAGAGACACAGCCCGACGTTTACATCTACTTTAAACACAATTTTTTTTCTTAAGCAGCACCACTGAAATAGTTTCGCTCAGAAGTCTCCTTTAAGGAAGGATTTAAGAGCAGTTTCTCAGAAGCATTAAACCGAGTCCTTATAAAACAAATGATGAGTAAACCTCACTTGTGTGGGTTCCAGCCACATCTGAGTCCTCCTTACGTGCGTGATGCACGAGCAAAGCGCCCAAGCCCAGAGAAGCCGGTCGTAGCGGAAGCAATGACCGACTGAGTCAGAAAGTGAGACGCTGGCTTTCTTCAGTGGCTGCGCCCTTGTCATTTGGACTCCTGTTTCTCAGCCGTCTCTTGCCCAAGACTGAAGGTTCAAGTTCAACCCCAGCTTATTATCAAAGGGCTATCCCGTTTCTGATTCCTCCTCAGTCACCCTGGGACACGCACACAAAATTCTTCCCCGCTCCTACCAGTGTTCCTGAAGGTGGCTTTAGGATGGATCTGGGGCAGCCAGGAAATAAGCTGCACAGTCAGCAAGGGACGGGTCCTTCCTGCCCGTCACTGCTCCTAAGCCAGGAGCACCACGTCCCCTTTGTTGTTCTAGGCCTCCGGGTCCCTTAGGCACCAGGTGCAGAGTGGGGTGGCCTGCACACAGTAACGTTTAAGTGTCTCACCATCGTGCCCGGGGAGGGAGACTTTGTTTCATCTTTATCTGGCTCTGCCTATTAAGAAGCTAGTCAGAAAATAAATCACCCCGTGGTTCATATGAATGTTCCAAAAAAAATATTTATTTATAAAAAATACAATGGGATAAGTTTATGCTGAGAAATGCAGCAATAAATACAGTTGAAGAAACAGAGCCACTCTACACGGTACACTGGGACAAAACGAAGATTCTGTGACCGCCGCCCAGGCCTCACGTCCGCGGGCCTCTGTCCATCGCTCTGTTGGAAACGTCAGTCTAAAAGGTCTCGTCAGCTTAGTCAGAGAATGAGTACACGTCTAATCACAAATGCACACCGATCGTTTTATTTAAAAATGAGCAAGCCATACTGGAGAGACGCGATACGCAAGTTTCCAATACGCTGCACCTTACATTTAGTTGGCAAAGACCACGTCTAAGCGAGAAGCACGACTTTCGTCTTCCGTGTAGGAACCAGATTAAAAAAAATAATTTTCTATCGTTTGACAACAGCAGCCGAAGGATAAGACTGCAAAAAGCAGAGGCTTTAGTAGGAGATCAGGCTGTCCAGGGCGCCCTCACAGCATGCTCACTTCCCGGAGTGACTGGCCATGCTGCGCGGCTGAACTGGTCAGCGCGGAAGGCGACTACTTAGGGAAGAGCAGAGGGAGGAAAGGAATGTATGTAAGGCCATGTTTTAGGGACAGCGAGCAGAGAAGTGTGTCAGGAAGACAGACAGAAGGTACTGAAGGCTAGCTTGGTTCTCACTGAGCAGGGGAGCCCGGGCCCTGGACTGGGCTAGTAATCGATGCCCTGGTGGTCGTACTGGTACTCCCGGGGGTAGTCGTCGGCATACTCGCCGTGGTAGTCATCCTGGTACTCCGCCTGGTAGTCGCTGTCGCTGAGCTCCGACCCGTTGGTCCCTGTGCCCTGGCTGCCATTGTGGATGACGGGCTCGGTGGGAGCAGCACAGTACTTGGGGTCGTACACTTGCCGCCCCAGCCCGTACACGCTCATCCCCTTCTGCGAGGCCACCTTGTTGGTGCCCATCTGCAGGGAGATGGTTGAGTTGTCCACGGGCTGCAACGTCAGCTTCTGGTCGTAGATGTCTCTTCTGGTGCCTGGCGCCAGCATCCCCGCCTGGGGTCAGAACACAGGACACAGGTCAAAGAGTCTGAGGACGCCGCGTAACCAGGACGGTCACACTCAGGGAACGCCTCTAACAGTGGCTTCCCGTGCCTCGGGGGGAAGCCCAGCTTTCGAAAGCATCCTGACGCCCGTCACGCTTAAGAGGCGACAGGCGTCGGGCTTGGGCTTGTCCTTGCTCTGGTCCTTGCTCAGTGGCCGCCGACAGGTTCACTCCCTGCCAGTGTTAACTTCTCACCGCAATATGGAGCCACATTACCTTCTCTGAACTCAGACAGGCAGACAGGATGTAAACGAGGGGTTGTTCTGCCACAGAGACCTCAGGCCAGCAACCCAGCGCACGGGCACGCACCCCCAGACTCAGGCCTGTCCAAGGCTGACCCGAAAGCCCCCCTTCAGACAGGCCCTCCCGCTCAGAACGACCCCCTCCCCCTTCAGAGTATGTGGCTCTGCCTCAGTTTCTCCTTTATGTCAAGCACAGGATTTCAGTGTGAAATGAGCAAAAGCAAATGAAAGTGGCAGCTATGAGAACGTCACAGGGGCAGGTGGCAATCCCTACAGGACAAAGGGCCAGGCCCATCTGGAGGCGCAGGAAGAGGTTTTCAAACCTCAGCCCCACTTCTGCTCTCAAGCAGAGGGGACCTGAGGGCCTGGCGACCCATTTTCAACAAGGAAATGCTTCTGTTCTGGGTGTGATGCTCGGTCCTGGCATTTTCATCCCTCCACTCTTTGGGAAGAGCTCCACTGCTACTTTAGGAGCTGCTTAGCATTGCTTAGGGAACTTCTTCTCTGGAAGGTCCCCCACCAGCGCCATAGGAATGCTGGTGTCACGCTGGTTCTTAGTAGCCTAAGGGCCCCCTTTAAAAACCAGCCCCCCACCCCCAAAAGAAAGCCAGCATTTAAACATGCCGTTTTTCGTGGCTTTTGGAGCGGGAACAGCATGAACATCTTTTTCCTTTGGGCTGGGAAGAAAGGCCAGCCGTTCTAACTCCAGCAAAAACCAGGAGCCACACCAGGCCGTCACTGCGGCAGGACGGCGGCCTTGATCCTCGCCCTCCCAGCAAAGCTGCCACAGCCACGCACCTGGCTGGCCCCCTTGTTGGTCCCCATCTGCAGACTGATGGTAGTCTGGTCGAAAGGCTTGTCCGTCTGCATCTTGGGGTCGTACAGGTGCCTCCGCGTCCCATAGGCCGTCATGCCCGCCTGGCTGGCACACTTGTTGGTCCCCATCTTTGAAGTGAAAAAATCAGCACTAATTACAGGAAGCCAGCGACACATACGACAAAAGTCTGTGCTACTGAGAGATGGAGCTGGGGTGCAGCCCAGTGACCAGGGAAGAGCTGAGCAGGTGAGGGCCCCGGGGTCATCCCCAACACCACCACCCCCAAAAAACAAGACGGAGGTGGAGCGGGGAAGTCCCTGAGCTCAAGCGCTCCTCCAGGCTTCTGCGAACAAATTTCAAGGACTAGCTTTCAGAAAAGAAAAATTCACTGTACACAGAACCTCTCAGCATCGTTAACCAAACGGAGGCTGCAACGTGATCGGAGTGGCGGAATTAGGGGCAATCCCCACTCTCTTGGGGACACCAGATTAAGGGTCACGCTCAGTCACAGAAACAGACAAAAGCCACCAAGGGCCAGGCAGCATGTTTTTCTACTCCAGCTATGGTGACAAAAAAAGATGGAGGCAAATGACAGCTGCTTTTTCTGGGAGGTTAGTAAGCAGTTTTGTGACAAGGTCCTCTTATGTAGCCCAAGCTGAGCCTCAAACTCACAATCCTCCTGCCTCAGCCTCCTGAGAGCTGGGATTACAGTCGTGTACCACCATGCCCTGCTTACCAAGCACTTTTTATACTTCATTTATAAAAAGCATACATGCATATTTTTTAGTTAAAAAGACCCACACTGATTCCAGTATTGTATAACCTGATTTACCCCCTCTGTCCACCTGTCAAACATTGGTGTATTTTTACATTGTAAGTTCCCATTTGCAATTTTAATTTAACCAACTGTCTACTTGTTTGGAAATTCAGGTTCTAAACAAAGTAGGATTTTGCACTTTATAAACACAACTCCACCTCACACAGAGCAGGGCAGTGTATCAGGAAGGTTTCCCAGAGCAAAGTCCACAGAACGGACAGTGGCTGGGGATGACGTTTGTGACACCTGCCGGGGGAGCGACGTGAGGAGAGAACAGTCATCTTAGCTACTTCTGGAGATTTAACCTGGCAAATGCTAATGGGCAGAGCAGCAGAGTCCTGCCTGCTGGTTTAGGCAAATGACTGTGGCGTTCAGGTTTTATAAGCTGCTCCCTTCACTCAGTAACACTTAGGAATTTATAAAGTGTGTGTGCTTCAAAAAGAACGGTATGACTAGAAAAAAAAGTTCATTTCCTAAAGAAACAGTTGCCGGGCCGTGTGGTATACTTGAAGCTCCTTCCGGAACCACCATTTGCTCATAGGATTTTGTTTTGTGTTTTGAGTTTTGCGAAAGCACTAGGGACTGAACCCAGGGACCTGCTGGGATAGCTGCCTGCATTGCCCGTGGTGCTTCTCCTGCAGCTGCCTTTCGCCTCAGCGACACCCTGGGCGGCGGCGACAGAGAAGCGGTCACTCACCTGCAGGCCGATCACGCTCTGGCCGGCCTTCAGCGTCCCTTCGTCAAAGCGCCTTGTCTGCTTCTCCGCGTACTTCACGCCAATGTCGATGGTGGTGTGAAAGCCTTTGGTTTTCGCCTGGACGGAAAGGCACGCACCGATGAGCCCACCGAGGCCTTTCCGGAAAGCCAACAATTCCGGAAGGACAGCTCCCCGTCCGAGTCCCCGAGGGACCACCATGACGCAATCGTCACCAACACGAGTGGGGACTCTTCAACCAGCCATGAAGGGTGCGTACGTACCAGACCTGCCAGAGCCACCAGCGTAGTCTGAACCTGGGTCATGTTTCCGTTCTCAAAGAGATCGTTGGCTTCAAAGATGTCGTGGGGCTTCATCCCGTACGCCTGGATGGCTTTAATGAAGTTCCCGATATTCTCCAGCTGTGAGGAAGAAAGAGGCGCGTGGCTCTCGGCCTCGTGACAAGATGCCGGCCGGCCACGTGCCGAGGACGCTGACCAGGTCCCCACCAGGCGCGCTCCGTGGAGGAGGACTGACACAACGGCCTTGATGTTTTTGCACAGTGAGCTTTTTGGCTCGACTGCGGCAAAACCTGCCTCATACAGTGCTAAGAATTCTGCGTCCGAGCTGTCAGCTGTCAGGCCTGGGATTTTCTCCATCAAAAACGAACCCGCTATGTTCTAATCCTAATTTCAGAAGCAGCCTGTGGTTACTGAACACTCATTCTCCTGTTTCAAACCGTGCCGTGAAGGCCGGTGTCACTCAGCTGTGCGGTTCACATGTCAAGGCCCCGCTTTTCCAGCCCCACCCTTCTGGCCTAGGTCCTATTTCCCAATGAGCTGTGTCAGATTTCTGAAAAGCGGACAAAACAGCGGGACAACTTCCCATAGACATCAAATGACTGGAAGACCAGTTCAACAAGGGATTATGGAAACATTTTTTGTAAAAAGGCAAAAACAAATATGACCGTGTATACAGTTTTCTGTGTTAACATGGCTATTTTAAAACTGCCACCAAAAAACAAACCCCAAACCAAACTCAAATCTGACAGTTTACACCAAATAAAAAGAAACCAGCCAGGTGTGGTGGTACTGGCCTGTAATCTCAGCACTTGGGAAGCTGAAGGAAAGGACTGCGAGTTCAAGGCCAGGCGGGGCTACAAAGCGAGACCCTGTCTGAGAACAAGGCCGAGCCCGCCAGAAGCAGAAGCTGCAGTTACCTGGGGCCAGTTGAGTGAGGATTCGTTGACCTTCTTCACGGAGCCCGGCTGTAGTTTGTTTATGAGTCTAAAAGCAAGCACACGGGGACCCTTTACTGGTCACACACGCGACACGCCACACGGGCATGCTGGAACCCAGCACATCTGTGGGAAGAACCGGCACCGGGAGGGACAGGGAGGGATGTGGGGGGACACAGGGGACACCGAGGGGGGTACACGGAGAGACACACTCACTCGCACAGGATGATCCCGTCCTTCAGGCCCAGCTGGAAGTTGGCGCCGATGCTCAAGCCTGTCACCTCCTCTATCCAGTTGCGAAGGTCTTCCTCTGCTTGGTGGTCATACTTGGAAGCGATCTGAAACACAGGGCACTGACTTAGAGCCACCGCCCTGGAGCCACCCAATGCTGTCACCATTACCCACCAAGACCAGCGGTGGTGGCAGGAAGTCACATGCCACAGGGCCACAGGTGAGCGCTAACCACTGTTACAGCTTCGTCATCAAGCACGAGTTCTGGTGAAGATGCCGTCACACCAAATTCTGAAGAGAACCCGGAGAGAAGTGTGGACAGAGAAGGAGAAAATGTCACCAGGATAGGACAGATTCCCACCATGGCATGCAGGAAGTGACAAGGACTTAGCATCATGCATGACTTAACCTTGAAAGATTAAGTCATCAAGCATCTTATTCCAAAAAGACAGGAGGGGATTTGAACACAGACTATTTTACACATGGTCTCAACTAGCCAGACACGTGCTGCCGGGAGTTTAGCTGCCTAGAAAGTTGGGGCATTGTCCTTCTGTTCTGCAAGTGGTCGTTACAGCACAGTGGCGAGCCATCCCACTCGAGCCCACGGGAAGGAAGGGCACCTGCCATCGCCCGACACCAGACACGCAATAAAACTAAGGACAACTAGCTAATGTCGCACCTGCAGAAATCTGCAATAAAGACGACAGGACACACAGGCACCGGGCTACAAGGGGACATGCCGGAGCTGCCTGCCAAACTCGGGCTTTCCTGACCCCCTTCAAAAGACCAACCCAGAACATGAAGGAAATAAAATTTTAAATATCATTAGAAGCTGGGTGCCGTGGCTCACGCCTGTAATGCTAGCTACTCAGAAGGCAGAGATCAGGGGGTTCGAGGTTCAGAGCCAGCCTGGGGAAAGAGTTCATGAGACCCTATCTCAAAAAAGCCATCACAAAACAAAAAAGGGCTGGTGGAGTGGCTCAAGGTGTCGGTCCTGAGTTCAAATCCCAGTACCGCATAAAAAAACAAAAGGACAGCTCAGGGAAGAAGGACAGATCTCATGTCCTGTGTCGCAGATCAGCATTGCTGGACATGGAGGTGAACAGAGATGCTTGCTGCCCATAAAACGCCATTCGGCCTAGCTACTGAAAGAAAGGCCACAGGACATTTGTCCCGAGGCCCTTCATGTCCACTCAGGTCCTTTCCCACACACCTTGGACAAGTCAGCAGGATCAGGCCAGATTTCCAGAAGCTGGCTGTTCACCTCTGTCCACCCAACGGAGTGACTTTTAAAACAAGCTGTCACACTCGACAGCAGGTCCTCGTCATGTCCCCCACAGCCACCACGGCTTTCTTAAAGTGTCCAAGGCAGGACTCCCAAGCCTTCAGTGTCCTGCCTCAGTGACCTCCCCACCCCAAGGGCGGGCTCTGCTTTAGCAGAGAGGAACTGGTGTCAGTGACTACGTCGCTCAGGGAGCCAGCAGTCCCGCACAACAAGGCATGCGCCATTTACACTGTGGCTCTACTTAACCAGGAGCACAGAGGAAATCCAGCCAGTTTCCAGCTTCCTGTAAGGTAACCAACACCAGGAAATTTCAGGGCTCAAATCTGGCTGTCAGTTCGTTTATAAAACACTGCCCAGGCACAATGCAAAGCTACTGACGGTGTGACAAGTGACAAGATTCCTCCTCCCTGTGTTCTCCCTCCCTGAAAAACACGTCTGCATTCACTTCCTGCCAGCATGGGTTGCACTGGCACCTGGGTGGGGGACAGGAAAGGAGGAGTCAGGGATGCTGGGAGACTTGCCACAGGGACACACCTTCCCCTGGCGAGCGGGAAGCAGCCGTCACTCCTGTCCAACCCATTAGACCCATCGTGCGTGGCCCCTCAGGAAATGCAGTAAACCTGACTCAACTGTACGTGCAGAGAAGAGCAGCAGAGGCTCGGCCAGGACTCACTATGCACTGGTCACCGGAGGCAAAGTCTTACTGCGAGCGGAGTTTGGTCAGCAGTGAAGGCACCTCAGCTAAGGGACATGTGTCAGAAGATGTGAGGGCAGCCCGGTGGCTGGCAAGAGGACCTCTGCCTTGGCCCTTGGCTAATTCACCTCGCTGGTGCACCCAGTGAGTCTCTCCCTCCTCTGTTGTCTGCACAGTTTGTCAAGAATCAACGATTGTGAAGAACTGGGTGTGGTGATGCACAGCTGTAGTCCCTCAGGTAGGAGAAGAGTGAGTTCAAGGCCAGCCTGGACTGCATAGTGAGCCCATATTTAAAAAAAAAACAAAAACTGAAGAAATATTGTCTTGTTCTTTTGACTTGAAGATGAAATTACGTTACAGGGAGTTGGGCTTTTTGGTTTTGTTTATTTTTTGCAGGATGCGGATGAATCTTACACCAAAGGAGACCAATTATAACTCAGCCAGAGGACTAGAAACTCAGAGTGTGTGCAACAGATCTGGTGCCACGCCCTAAGAAAGTGAGTCCAGACCTGACTTGAAACCACAGCTTGCAGTGAGGAATTTTCGTTTTTTCTGCTGACCGCTCTCATGGAGGAGCAACAAAGACCGAAGAGCCAGGCCCTGGGTGGGAGGGTGGGGTGCCAGGGGGGCTCCAGTCTGGCCTCCGTCCCCAACGCTACAGGACATGCACCCAGAGCTGGCCACAGTCATGCAGATGCGAAATGCAAGGCCCTGCAAACTAAAAGTGAAAACTAAGGGTGCACGCATGTCGTGTTACTCTTGGTTTTGACAGAGTTTTCCTTCAGCTAAAGGAGCACCAGGACTTCTGTAACTCAAATACTGCTCAGATTTTTCTAATTAGTGGACCTTCCTGCACTTAAATCAAGGATTGTCTCTTACAACCAAGAGCTGAAGCAACTAAAAAGCTCTGGCCAATAAAACTCATCCACTGATTTCATCTGAAAAGCTTTAATTTCCAAACAGAAGGCAGAAATGGCGACATTTTCTTCCTTGTAACAAAAGATAATGAGCTTTCAAAAGCAATCTTGGATTCATCTCATGGAAATTCTGTGCAATTTTCTGGAGAAAAATAGAATCTCTCTTCCAGTTGTTTTCCTTTCCATCTCTCACCTCTCCCCAACCCACGCTCCCTCTCCTCCCATCCTTTTCCTTACTGTTCTTCCACATCTATTCCACTTGACATTCCTCTCTGCCTGGCTCCCTCTTCCCAGCCTGTCAAGCCCCGTTCTCCATGGGCCCACCTTTCCTGTATTCTTGAGACACCCTCAAGAGCGGTGTCTCCAGCAAAGAGCAAATGCAAAGGCCCAGGGGCCAGGAGAGTCCCAGGGAAGCTCACGTCTTCCTCTTGCCAAACACAGTCAAGGGCAAGATGGGGGCGGACGGCACTCCCGGGTGCTGCACCTGCCTTTCCTCCTTCTTTGCCACCTCCATCCCAAGTCCTCACTAAGAGGTCTATACAATATTTATTTGAAAAAGTAAACAGTGCGTGAGCATGGCAAACCCGCACTCTGCTGAAGGATCCTCACTTTGACATGGGGTGACAACGGCCCCTAAAGGGGACAAAACTGAGTCTTGTTTGTATTAAATCTGGTACAGTTGGGAGGCAGTTAGAAAGAAGGTGAAAAATGGCTCCTGAGGAGGGGTAATAAAGAAAAGAGTGAGAAACAGGTGACATGAACCAAAACTGTGCAGTCTTTCCACACCCTGGAAAGTCACTCCCGTCCCGAGGGAGTTTCCTCCAGATTGGTCAGCCAAGGTTGTGGCATAGGACACAGCCCTGACAGATGCAGGCCCCAGGGCAGCCCTTCCTGAGGGTGGAGGGAGAACTGCATCAGAGCATGGCTGAGGAAAGGCATGCCCTTCCTGCACTGGAAGTATCCCTCAGAATCCAAGTTTCAAGAGCACCCCACCCTGTCCCTGAAACACCCACCGAGAGCAGCTGGGCAAAAGATGGGATGCACCTAGCGGGAGGCAGAGCATAATACGCTAAGGACTGTCTGATGGTCCCTCTGACACCCAGGCACACTCGAGAGTCAGCGGAAGAATGAGGACTGCTTGTCCTTCACCCCTGGATCCAGCACAGGACAGGACTGGCTCCAGGATGACCATGGATGCTCAGTCCCTGGACTGTCAAAGGCCTCACAGAAAAGGGCACTGCATTTGCATGTAACCCTGGGCCTCCTGCTTTCCTTAAGTCAGCTCCAGATGATTTGTCACCTATTATAATCAATGCCACACAGACATCTGCACACACGTCATAGGGAACCATGACAAGGACAACAGAAGGTCTGCATGTGCTTAGTTTTCCTAGGATTTCTGACCTGTGGTTGATATGGAGGGCAACTGCACATTCCTTCTCACAATATAGTCTTTTTTTGGGTGGGGAGCAGCACTGGGATTTGAACTCAGGGCCTCACACTTGCTAGACAGGCACTCTACCACTTGAGCCATGCCACTAGCCTCACCATATATTCTTCTCGTAGAGCCCGCTCACACCCAGAAGCAGGTGAGTTCTGGTTCTGTCACTTATGTACCACAGTCTCCCAATCTCAGACATGCCTGCACTCTCCAGAGGCTGTTAGGATAACCCAGCAGCACCCCAAATGTCTAACAAGAGTCACATTCATGCCAGCATCTCTTTCGAGCATCTCCTGGATTCTTCTTCAACTTCTTTCTCCACTCCTCCTCCATTCTGTCCCTCGTTCAAGTGGCTGGTACGTAGGAAGCATGGTGCAGAGGCAAGGACCTGCCCTAAAAGTTCCATTCCAGTAGAAAGAGACAAATCCAAAAAAGGTGTACTAAGGATGTTTGGGGGAAAAAAACATCCAAATTAAAGGGAGGATTGGATGATGGGGGGGCTAAGACAGGAAAGAGTCTCATATGTTATTTCCACATCAAAGATCAAGCCCCCGCCCTCAACCTCAGCCCCCTCCCTCTTCCCTGCCAAGGAAGACAGGCAGCAACAGGCAGGCTTAACGTTTCTTTCTACCCAAAATCTCTCACCTAATGGACCCAACAAGCATGTAAACACCTCTGTAGAGTCCCTAAGTGTTCCCATGGGAGCTACAACAGCCTAAGATCCATGGTTTGAAGTCAAACTTTAGAACTTTGTGCTCCCCTTTCTAGGG